CCCGGGACCGTACAAACACATCTCGGGACGAACAGCCGGTCCTGGGGAAGGGGTCGAGACTTCCAGGAACCCCGCCTTGACAAAATCAAGACGGGGGGGCTTTCGCAGCTTTCAGCCTCTACATCGGGGCCCTCGCCAGGCCCGGGACCGTCCAAGAACGGCTCAGGACGAAGAGTCGGTCCTGGGGAGTGGGTCGGGACTTCCGGGGATCCCGTGTTGAAAAAATCACGACATCGGATCTCTGGGAATCGAAGACGAAAATCGCGATAATCTGGGCATCCCAGATGGGGTCGGAGCAGATGAGGTCGGAGGATCGCGCCGCATCGCCGATGCATCGCCGATGCGGCTCGATGTGGGGCCCGATTTGCTTCGCGTCGACGTCGCCGATGCATCGCCGACGTCGGCGATGCATCGCCGGTGCATCGCCGATGCATCGCCGATACATCAGGCGCCGACCCCATCTAGGAGGCCTCCACAGAAACATGAGCGCTCCGCGCGGCTTTCTTGGATCCGCGCTGGGGCCTCCCGAGCGGCGCCTCCGGCGCCGCCACTGACGCGCTCCGCGCGCCAGGGAGGGGGGGGTCCAGCGCGGATCCAAGAAATCCGCGCGGACAGTCGAAAGTTTATGCTTGTGCCGTTCTTCGAAGTCAGTCAGGGTGGGCGGCCTGGCCCTCGCTGGGCCGCCGAGCTGCAGGGCTGCCGCCGCTCCGTCGATCGGGAGCAGGCCGCCCGGCAGCGTCTCGTCGATCTCGGGGCCCAGGCGTGCTCGCGTCGCCACAAGACTCAGGACGGAGGCTCGTTCGCCGACTTCGGCCTCTGGAGGCCCTCGCTGGGCCCCGGGACCGTCAACAAAAAGATCCAGGATCCCAGCGATCCTATGTCGTAAATTTTTCAAAGCGGGGTCCCCGGAAGTCTCGACCCATTCCCCGGGACGGGTTTTTCATCCCGAGTCTTTTTGTTTGACGCTCCCGGGGCCCGGCGAGGGCCCCATATAGAGGCCGAACAGTGCGAGAAACCTCCGTCTTGGTTTTTCCCATGCGTTGGCTCCTTGGGATGGAGAGCTGGTCCCGGGGGACGGGGGTCGGGGCTGCCGGGGGCGCCGCACTGGAAGAGTCGAGGCGTCGCAGGCCTTCTGGACGCCCGAAATGGGCACGGAAGGAACGGGCACGTGGACGGCGAGTCCTGTTCAAAATGAGCAGGAACTGCTGTTGGGCATTGTACCCATTCTTGCCGTGCCCATGTCGGGCGTCCAAAGGTCTAGGAGGAGGAGGAGGGGGGGGAGGAGGAGGAGGAGGAGGAGGAGGAGGAGGAGGAGAAGGAGGAGGAGGAGGAGGAGGAGGAGGAGGAGGGGGAGGGGGAGGAGGGGGTGGGCTGGCAGACCCCCCCTGAGATCTCTGGGCGCGGCTGTGCTGGCCGGGCCAGGCGCCCGCGCTCCGCTGCGGGCCCTTGTAGGGGCCCTCACGAGGGCCGACGCTGCTCGCAGATGCGGCGCAGCAGCTGGGCTTTGGGGCCCCAGTCGTGATGTGTCGCGAGGTTGCACTTTTTCGCTGCGGTCGACCCGCATAGCAAGGATGGGCACCTCGGGCCGGACGAAAGGGGGGGATTGGGAAGGGGGGGGGTACGAAATTTGCTGCATGCAGCTGGTGTCGGCCTCGCCGAGGGGCCCATTCCTCGATACATAGCCGCCTCCGGCGCCGGGAGGCGCCGGGAAAATCAGCTATGATTCTCAAACCTGCCATTTGCTATCCCCCCTTTCGCCCGACCCGAGCAACCTTCCCAAGGGTACCCTCGCATCCGTGCCTCCTCGGTCCATCCCTGGCCACTCCCGCTGGCCGCACCCCGCTCGAGAAGTTTCGAAAGTGGGCGTCCGAGGCCCTTGCATATCCTGACCGCGCATCCTGGGTCGACTGTGGGGTTGCGTCGAGGAGGAGGAGGAGGAGGAGGAGGAGGAGGAGGAGGAAGGAGTAAGGAGGAGGAGGAAGAGGGAGTGAGGAAGAGGAGGAGGGGAGGAGAAGGAGGAGGAGGAGGAGGATCCTCTCGATCCCCGGCGCCTCGCCGTACTGCCCGCTGGCGCGGAGGAGCAGAAGGTACCTGTATCATATATCGCTACCCGTCGGTCGTTGAGAGGAAGTACTTCTGGATGCCCAGATCCCGATCCAGTTCCAGCTCCCTCCCACTTCAAGAGCCGAGCTGTGTGCTGTGGCTGTTGCTTTTTACTCTCAGAGCGGGCCCGAACCCAACCTACTCGATCCGCCGACTACGGAGGGCAGGGTGACGCCAGGGTGTGGTTTGCGATCGGCACTGTTGGAGCCTGGGTCGACCAGACATGGGAGTGGCCTTTCGCTGGAGTGACCTCTTGCTGCAGACCCTGGGGTGGCCTTCGCTTCTGGAGCCCGTCGAGGTGACCTCCAGTGCGGGCCCAGCGGGGTCCCCCGATCGCGGCTCGGTTCTGCCTAACGGCTTGCAGAGAAAAAAAAAAAAAAAAAAAAAAAAAAAAGTCCCCCGATCGCGGAGTGCGACGCGGTAGCAGCGGCTTGCGCGCCCAGGTTTGGCCACCCCGCGTCCCCCGTGAAGCCGCGCACCAAAAGGGTCACTCTTGCCTTAGGTTGGGCATGTCCTCCTACGGGCAGATCTTGGAAGAGAAATGAGACATATAGCCCGAATATGCAGAAATAGTGCTCAACAAAATAGTCGAACAATTCTCCCCGTACGATGTTTGTTGACTCTGCTTACAGGTTTCTCCTGTAGAGAGTCATGCCCGACTTAAGTTGCTGGTCCCGGGCCGATTTCGGTGGGCGGCGGAGTTTTCGGGTTCCCGGGTTCCTGATCGTTCTCCTGATCGATCGGTCGCACCATCGATCTCAATACCCACCTCTCTTTCGATCTCACGATCGATCTCACCATCGATCTCACTATCGATCTCACTATAGATCGCACTAGCGATCTTCTTGCCTGGGGTCGTTCTTCCGTGCCTCCTCCTCCTCCTCCTCCTCCTCCTCCTCCTCATCCTCCTCCTCCTCCTCCTCCTCCTCCTCCTCCTCCTCCTCCTCCTCCTCCTCCTCTCCTCCTCCTCCTCCTCCTCCTCCTCCTCCCCCTCCCCCTCCCTCCTCCCTCCTCCCTCCTCCCTCCTCCCTCCTCCCTCCTCCCTCCTCCCTCCCCCTGGGGTCCTGGGCTGGTGGGGTTGTGACAGGGCCACTGGGGTTTGATGGGCGGAGTTCGCGCATCGAGGCACGTGAGAACACGTTGATGGGCTGTCTTTTGTCGCGGTCCGAGCTCTGCCAATGGCCCCCGCCCGCGCCCCCAGGGTACCCCCCAGGGCTATGTTGCTCCCACCGTACTTGAGGACCACATCCCAGAAGTGACTCGGAGCGCCCGGGAAAGTGTCGAAACAGTCTCCTCCCAGAGGGCCCCGCACGTGAAAACCCTCGCGTTTCGGTATTGTTCTGGTGCTCGAAATGTTTTCTGGCGGTCAAGGCTGAAGCAGGTTGGAGCATCATAACCCGGGGTGCCAGCTGCAAGCCACGCCCTCTGCAAGCCACACCCCTCGGAGCCGCCGAGAGGAGGGCCGGGCGCTGCTGGACAGCCGGGCCGCCGAGCTGCAGGGCTTCATCCGCTCCGTCGACCGGGAGCAGGCCGCCCAGCAGCGTCCAGCCGATCTCGGGGCCCAGACACGCTCGCCTCGTCTTCGCAAATGGTCCAGCGCATGGAAAAAGTCAAGACGGAGGTTTTCCGCAGCTTCCGGCCTCCACGGGGGCCCTCGCCGGGCCCCGGGACTGTCAAGAAACGACTCGGGACGAAAAGCCGGTCCTGGGGAATGGGTCGAGACCTCTGGGGACCCGTGTTGAACAAAGCACGACGTCGGATCTCTGGGAGCAAGACTCGGGACGGAGGCGCCGTTCTCCGTCTTCGGCCTCTGGAGGTCCTCGCTGGGCCCCAGGACCGCCAACAGAAAGATCCAGGATCCCAGAGATCCGACGTCGTCATGTTCTCAATGCGGGGTCCCGGGAAGTCTCGACCCATTCCCCAAGACGGGTTTTTCATCCCGAGTCGTTTTTTGACGGTCCCGGGGCCCGGCGAGGGCCCCTATAGATAACGTTGGATCTCTGGGATGAAGAGCTGGTCCCGGGGGGAGGGTCGAGACTTCTGGGGGGCGCCGCACTGGAAAAGCCAAGGCGTCGCAAGTCTGGGGAGGCTGGCAGACCCCCCCCCCTGAGATTCTGGGCACTGCAAGTCTTCGGGAGAGCGTAGAAGACTCGAGCAAGCCGGGATTCGGGCTCGTCGACGTTCTTTGACGAGCGCGTCCTGGATGTTGGCGGTCCAGTTTCCGTGGGATGTCTGCAGCGGGAGCTCGCGTCAAACTTCAGACGGGGTCTCGTCATGTTCCTGACGGCCTCGCCGGACGAACCCGAGTCTCCCGAACATGAGTCGTACACGTCTCCCCGAGTTCTGGTCGGGCCAAGCGCATTCGCTCAGTTTCAGGCCCCGGGACCTCACAGATCGATCCGGCTCGAAAAACGGTGCAGACCCAGACATATATCGCGTCGTAAAAAAGTCAGGACGGGCGGATTTTAGCCAATTTCGGCATCTAGGGGCCCTCGCCTGGCCTCGGGGCTGTCAAAAAGCGACTCAGGATGAAAAACCGGTCCCGGGGAAAGGGTAGGGACTTCCAGGGACGCCGTCCTGAAAAAATCCGGACGTCGCATGTCTGGGGAGGATGGGATCCGGGGCCCCCGCCGTGGTGTTCCACGAGGTTGCCTTGCTTCGCTGCGTCGTGTCTCCGGGCCGGAGGCCTGTAGCCTGAGAACATGCTCGCCCGAGCGAACGAACAGAAGAAGCCCCGCCTAGACGGCACAGTGGCAAACTGTCTGCTAAAAACCAGACATCGGGCGTCTCGAAAAAATCGAGACGGAGGTTTCTCGTCGTTTTCGACCTCTCAGGGCCCTCGTCGGGCCTCGGGACCGTCTAAAAACGACTCGGGATGAGAAACCAGTCCCGAGGAAGTGGGCGGGAGGTCGGGGGCCCAGGTATCGAAAAAATCGAGACGTCGGATCTCTGGGAACACACGCGACCGTAAAAAACGTAGGGCTCAGTCAAGCAAGGACCCAGAGATCCGACGTCGTGTTTTTTTGTTTCCACACGGGGTCCCCAGAAGTCTCGACCCATTCCCCAGGACCGGTGTTTCATCCCGAGTTGTGATTTTTGACGGTCCTGGGGCCCGGCGAGGGCCCCCAGAGGCCAAAAGTTTAGAAAAAAATGCGTCTTGGTTTCGGGGGAGCGTAAGACCCGGGTTTGCCGGGACTCGGGTTCGCCATCGTTTTTTGACGACCGCGACTCGGATTTTGACGAGGAGGAGTTTCGTGGGATGTCTGCAGCGGGAGGCCTCGTCAAAATGCAGGCTCGGCCTCGTCATTTTTTGACGACCTCGTCGGGGATTTTCGAGTCCCCCGTACCCGGGTCTTACGTCTCCCCGATGGTTGTTTCAATGCGTGGGATCTCTGGGGACATGCCCGCGTGCGTCGTGGGAAACACCTGGCGGGAGGTCTCGGGCCGCTCTCGGCCTCTGCTGGGGCCTCTTCGCCAGGCCCAGGGGCGGTCCGAGAGAGCGACTCGGGACCAAAAAAGACGGTCTTTGGGGGGGGGGACTCGTCTTAAGTCGGGCTTGTCCCTCAACAGAGGACCAAAAATACAAAAAACAAAAAACAAAAAAAAAAGTCTGGGGACGATTGTTTGACCATTGTTGATTATTGTTCCTATATTGTTAGGGTATTCTTAGTTTTTCGTCCAAAATCCGCCTGTGGGGGGGACATGCCCGACCTCAGACTGGTCGGGACTTCAGGGAGCGCGCATTGAAAAAGTTGGGACATCGCATGTCTGGGAACCCAGAACCCGTTTTCGGGCCATGGAAAAATCACGACCGAAGATTTTTCGCTACGTTCGGCCTCCGCGGACCCTCACCAGGCCTCGGGACCGTCAAAAATCAGCCCAGGATGAACAACCGGCCCTAGGAAAGGGGTCTAGCCCTTTGGGGGTCGACGTTGCGAAAAATCATGACGTCGGGGGGAGCACGTTTGGGCCCAGAAGGGCTCCTTTGGGAGCCCCAGGGGGGCCCCTTGGGGGCTCTGAATGGCCATTTCTGGGCTCCGTGTCTGCAGTCCTCGATTCCCTTAAGTTTCTCGGACGGGCCTGGAATCGAGATGAATCCGTTCCAGAGCAGCCCAGAACGTTCTCAGACCGTTCCAGAATGCTCTGACACGGCCGCGGCGCCTGATGCATCTTCCAAGCTAGCCGATCCTCAGAGATGTCCGATTCAGATCGTTCCGATTATGCCTCGATTCTGCCCTCGTCTTAGTCAACTGCTCCTGCGTTGACGACCGCCCGACGATCCGCAGCCCCACCGGGCCATGGCTTCAGCCCCACCAGCCCGCCAGCCCGGGTAGGGACAGGTCCCACGAGGCCCGAGGGTAACAGCACGTATCCCCACCCAGGCGGCAAGTTGGCCAGCGGGACCTGAAACAGAAAAAGCTGCAGCAGCATATGATGGGGGCGATCGTTAAGGAATGTGCCCAGGAGGCTTCGGACCCCGAAGGAAGCCTTCTCTGATGAGGTCGGCGGTGATGTCCATGGCCACCTCACGATTGGAGTTCCACTGGCTTCCAGACCCTGGATTCCTTATCCAGTGGTTCCTTATCCAATGCCCTCACCGTAAGCAGTCGGCGCTCCGCGCGGTTTTCTGGGATCTGCATTGGCCCCCCCCTCCCTGGCGCGCGGCCACAGGCAGCGCTGGAGGCACCGCCAGTGGGGTCGAGCGCAGATCCCAGAAATCCGCCCGGAGCGCCGAAAGTGTATGCTTATGCCGCTTGTTTCTCCTTTCGAAAGATCACGACCAGAGTCCTGGAACCCATCTTTCTGCGGCATCTTTCGAGCTGGATCGATCTGTGAGGGTCCCGGCGCCTGAAAAAAGTTGCAACGCCAGGGTAAGTTGGCCAGTGGGGCCAGGGCCGCGCCAGGCTGGGATGGTCAGCCACGCGCAGAAGGGGGGGGTAGGGTTAAGTCGGGCGTGTCCCTCTAGAAAATGGATATTCCAAAATAGTGAAAAATTGTCTGGGGACGATTTGTTTAGCATGTTTGAATATGTTTTATCATATGTTGGCAATTTTTAAGTTTTCGTCCGAAATCCCCCTGTAGGAGGACATGCCCGACCCAAGGGTAGGGGGAGGAGGGAAGGCTTCTTAGAAGCACCCCTGCTTAGAAGGCGCGGGCCCTCTCTGTGGATGCAGGGCCGGCGCATTCTAAGAAGAAGGGTGCTACTAAGAAGCCTTCCCCCTCCCCCTACCCCCTTCCCAGACCCCCGACATGCGATTTTTCCACAACGTCGACACCCAAGGGTCTGGACCCCTTCCCCGGGGCCCGTTTTTCGTCCTGAGTCGTTTTTTCAGTGGCCCCGAAGCCCGGTCAGGACCCCTGGAGGCCGAAAATACAGAACAGCTTCTCGTCGCGACTCCTTGTCGTTACCCCAGGGGGTCTGGGCGGTGCGCGCCGCCACACGTGGGCCAGCAGGGGCGCCAGTGGGGATGGCATCGGCCGCGCGGTGCTCGCGAGGCCCAGGGCCTGGAGAAGGCCCGCGCGTGGCAGGCGGAGGCGGACTCGAGGACTCGGCGCGGCGGGGCGAGGAAACAGAGCGGCGGGGAACGCAGGTTCGGATTCCGAAGTATAATAATAATAATAATAATAATAATAATAATAATATATATATATATATATATATATATAAAAACAAAAACAAAAAACAACAAAAAAACAAAAAACAAAAAAAAAGCGTCGTGAGAAAATCGGGACGGGAAGTTTTTTTTGCTATTTTCGGCCCCCGGGGGTCCTCGCCGGGCCTCGGGATTGTCAAAAAACGACCCAGGACGAAAGACCGGTCCCGGGGAACAGATCGGGTTCGGAATTCGAACACCCAAACATCGGGCGTCTCGAAAAAATCGAGACAACAGTTTTTCGTCGTTTTCGGCCTCTCGGGGCCCTCGCCCGGCCTCGGGACTGTCAGAAAACGACTCGGGACGGAAAACCAGTCCCAGGGAAGTGGTCGAGAGGTCGGGGGCCTGTGTCTCGAGAAAATCGAGACGCCGGATGTCTGGGCCCGAGTTCGCCCTGAGCCGAGTTACTCCTGATGATTTGGGGCTCTGGACGCCCGGATCATCCGGGGTAACTCGGGCCCGGGGTATCTCGGGTTCGGATTCCCGAAAACGAGCCCGAGTCCTGATGGTTTGGGGCTCTGGACGCTCGAAAAAATCGAGGCGCCGGATGTCTGGGGAGGGCGCCGGCCCGACACGCCCGCGGCGCAGGCCCGCGCCTTCCATAAGCAGGAGCAGCAGGGGGTGCGTCTCTGGGAGGCCAGCGCGCGTCTCTCCCGGGGCCCCCATCTGTGCGCGCCGCCAGCCTCTCCACGCCCCCGACGCGTCGAGAAGATCGAGACGGAAGCCCAGAGATCCAACGCACTGAGAAAATCCAGACGGAGGTTTTCCGCGGTGTTTCGCGACTTTGGGGCCCCCGCCGGGCCCCCCATCTGTGCGCGCCGCCAAGCTATCCACGCCCCCGACGCGTTCAGAAGATCGAGACAGAAGCCCAGAGATCCAACGCATTGGGAAAATCCAGACATAGGTTTTTCGCGGTGTTTCGCGACTTTGGGGCCCCATCTGTGCGCGCCGCAAGCCTCTCCACGCCCCCGGCGCGTCGAGAGGATCGAGGCGGAAGCCCAGAGCTCCAACGCATTGAGAAAATCCAGACGGAGGTTTTTCGCGGTGTTTCGCGACTCGGGGCCCCCAGCCTGTGCGCGCCGCCACGCTCTCCGCGCCCCCGACGCATCGAGAGGATCGAGGCGGACGTGTTGCTCCGTTCCCGGCCTCCCCAAACATCGGGCGCCTCGAAGACATCGAGACAGCAGACGCGTGGAGCAAGTCAAGGCGGAACTGTTTCGCTGTTTTTGGCATCAGAGACCCAGAGATCCAGCGCATTGAAAAATTCAAGACGGAGGCTTCTCTAAGTTTTTGGCCTCTGGGGGCCCTCGCCGGGCCCCGGGACCGTCAAAAAACGACTCGGGGCGAAAAACCGGCCCCGGGGAAAGGGTCGGGACTTCCAGGGACCCCGCATTGAAAAAATCGCGACGTCGGATCTCTGGGAATTTGATTCAGCTTTCGGCCGCTGGGGACTTCGCCAGGCCCGGGGGCCGCCACAAAACATGATGCGGGCCGGAAATAGCCAGCCCTGGAAGTGGCCCGGAGCCCCGGGGACCCCTCCTCCCTCCCTCCCTCCCTCGCTTCCTCCTCCACCTCCTCCTCCTCCTCCTCCTCCTCCTCCTCCTCCTCCTCCTCCTCCACCTCCACCTCCACCTCCTCCTCCTCCTCCTCCTCCTCCTCCTCCTCCTCCAGCGCCATCCCAGAAAGTCCGAGCAGGCCTCCGCAAGTTGGTTTGTGCTTGTGCCGTTCGATCTTCTTCCAGATACGGTGGGGGCATTCGTTCGGGAATGTGCCCAGGAGGTTTCAGATCCTGGAAGGTTCCTGGTCTGATGATGGTGGCTATGCCGTATGTTGTTCTTTTCGAAAAATCACGACCAGAGCTCTAGACCCGATCTTTCTGCGGCATCTTTCGCGCTGGATCGATCTGTGAGGGTCCCGGAGCCGCAGAGCCGTTGCAGACGCCGTGTGCCCGCGTGAGACGGGCTTCGCCTGCCCAACGGCAGCCGCTAGCCGCTTTGGGGGCGTCATTCGCTGCCGGGGATCGCACCCTCCTCCTCCCTCCTCCTCCTGCTGCTGCTCCTCCTCCTACATTTCTACATTTCTCGCTATGCAGCGTCTTGTCGCGCGCCCCGCGGGCGCGGAGCGCGCCGCAGCGGCCCTTCAGGGCCGTGCGGGCACTCGGACAGCGGCCCCGGGAACCCGACCCCGAGGAGAGCGGGGGGAACCAGGGACCAAGTTAAACCTCAGAGGAGAGAGAAGGGGGCCGGGTTTCAGCAAAAAAGGGGGCCCGTCAGGGCCCATGGGCGGGCGCCGCGCGCGCCCGCGCCCGCGGGCGTCAGGCAGCGCGGCACGGCGCACGGCCAGGCCGACGGCCTCTTCGTGGGCTGGCGGCCGCGTGGTGGCGGCTGGGCTCCCTTCGGCGCCTCGCGCTGAGCCCAGCCGCCGTGGGGTCTTCGGGTGGCTGGCTGCCCCCAGCTGCGGCGGCCTCCACCCTTCGGCGCAGCGCGCTGTGGAGGCTCGCCGAGCCGCTCGTGGGCTCCAGCAGTCTGCAGCGGCTGCTCTCGTCATCATGCCGATCAGGGCCGGCTGGCCTCGGCCCCTCGCATGCCACGCGAGGGCGACGGGGATACACCCTTCGGCGCCTGGCGCTGTGTATCCCTCGCCGAGGGGCGCGCTGCCCCTTCTCTTCGAGTAGTCCATGATGTGCTCGAGCCTGCAGTGTTGCTTGACACTGTGGTGCTCGAACTTGTATCCCTCGTCCCAGTCGTGCTGGGCGGGTTGGTACTCCTGCGTAATCCTGTCCAGTCATGCTGGTCGTCCTGGTACTCGACAACCGTAGTATCCGATGTCCTCATTCATGCCGCCCCCGCCTCTGCAGTACAGGAGGGCGCTGATCTTGGGGGTTGTGGGTGGCGGTCGCTTGTAGGGCTGAGTGTAGGATGTGGAGCGTGCTGGTCGGGTCGTTGGGGAGTCGGATCGTTGCTGGTGTTGTGTTGGTTGTGGGCTTCCAAGGCCTCCATGCACCGACTTCAAGTGGGGGTCTTGGCTGTCCCACCTCGTCCCGCTATGGCTAGGGGTCACAGTGCCCTCGGTGGGGGCGAACCCCAGGCCTGGTACTTATTATCGTCGGAGTGAGATGTCTCGGCTGTCCTGTGCTTCGCCCTCGGGCGCTCGGGTAGCTCCTCCTTCTCCATGGGAATGGTGGGGGTGGCGAACTAGGGCGGACCGCGGGGGCGCAGGTAGTGGCCGTCCTACCCCCCCCCTGCCCCTCACCATCCCCCCTGGTGGGCGCGGGAAGTACTCGTCCTTCCCCCCCGCCCTTCGAGCCCGTCTCGAAGTTTGATCCATGCCTCACCAGGGCAGCGTTGACTTGACAAGAGGTGTGCGGGGCCGTGTTGGGTATGCTGTCGATGTCGGTCAGTAGTACGACGGCGACGTGTGGACCGCCCGCTGCCAGCCAGCTGGTGTCCTCCGAGTTGTAGGTAGCCAGTCGCCGCCAGGATACTCACAGCAAAACGTAGCGACTTGTGCCTGGGGTGTTCCCTCGCATTCGGGGCTTCCCCAGGACTTGCGTCCTAACCAAAGCAAACTTGGCGACGCTGCCTGAGGTCTTCCCACGCATTCGGGGCTTCCTCAGGACTTAACCCATGACGCCGTAGTGCCTGTCCCCGAGGAAGCTCTTTGCCGCGAATATACTGCCGTATCCATGCTGCTCTTGTCCAGGGCGCTGGATAATCATAGAAGTGAATGCCAGGGTTGAAAGAAAGCCAATAAAATCCAGAAAGTACTCGAGGGGGGGGGCACGCTCCGTCGCCATTGAGGGATCGTGCCCACCCGTATGGGCGCTACGGGTCCCCCCCCCTCGAGTATGGCACGCAATCGCTGTCCAAGACGAAGCCGTGCCAATAACCCAATAGTATCGCGGGTCTTGAGTACATACAGTAGGTGCACTGATGCTATCGCGCCTGCTGGCTCCTCCTCCTCCTCCTGCTCCTCCTCCTCCTCTTCCCAGTCCTCCACCTCCTAGTCCTCCTCCTCCTCCTCCTCCTCCTCCTCCTCCTCCTCCTCCTCTTCCTCCTCCTCCTCCTCATCATCATCAGCATCATCATCATAATCATCATCGTCGTCCTCCACCTCCTCCTCCTCTTCCACTTCCTCCTCCTCCTCTTCCTCCTCCTCCTCTTCCTCCTCCTCCACTTCCCGCACCCGTTCCCGGAGACCCGCCAATGTGTTTCTTTCAATCCGCGGCCCCAGTGTGCTAAAGTCGGGCATGTCCCTCTACAGGAGGAATATGCAAGGATAGTCGAAAAATAGTCTGGTGACGACTGTTCGTGTTCTTTGGATTATTGCTTCACATGTTTGTTGACTAGTTTTCATTTTGCGTCCAGAATCCGCTGGCAGGAGGACATGCCCGACCTAGTAATAGGCCCCGGAGGCCGAAACACCGAAGGACCACCCCGACTGAAAAATCAGGTCGTCGGCGATGTCGTGTTCGCGCGCACGCGCGCCACAGGATGAGCCGCCTGGCCGAGGAGCTGGGGCACGCGGCCTCGGAGTGGCGCACGGACCTGCAGGTGATCCTTTCTTTATCCGTTGTTTTGCCGATCGGCGCGGGGCCTCTCACCCCCCTTCCCCCCATGGAGTAGATCTTGGCTGTTTGGGGCGCCTGCTTCAAGCGAGGAGGAGGAGAAGAAGAAGAAGAAGAAGGAGGAGGATGAGAAGGAGGCGGAGGCGGAGGCAGAGGCGGAGGCGGAGGAGGAGGCGGAGGAGGAGGAGGAGGAGAGGTCCAGAGCCCGACCGCCCCCCAATAGAGTAGATCTTGGCTAGATCTTGGCTGTTCTGGGTGCCCGTTTCAGTCAGGTGGAGTCCCCCCCATGGGACGCACTGTTGCAAATGGTCGCATTAAGCAGAGGTTAGGGAAACAAGCAATGGCATAAGCATTAAAACTCGGAGATCCGCGAGGACCTCCGAGTTTTGCTTGCTTGTGTCAGTGATTGTTTCTCTAGAGGTCCAGAGCCAGACCCCCCCCCCTCGGAGTAGATCTTGGCTGTTTGGGGCGCCTGTTTCAGGCGGAGGAGAAAGAGGAGAAGGCGGAGGCGGGGGCGGAGGCGGCGGATGAGAAGGAGGCGGAGGACGCGGAGGATGAGGAGGAGGAGGAGGAGGAGCAGGAGGAGGCGGAGGAGGAGGAGGAGAGGAGGAGGGGTCCAGAGCCAGAGCCAGACCCCCTCCTCCTCCTCCTCCTCCTCCTCCTCCTCCTCCTCCTCCTCCTCCTCCTCCTCCTCCTCCTCCTCCTCCTCCTCCTCCTCCTCCTCCTCCTCCTCCTCCTCCTCTCCTCTCCTCCTCCTCCTCCTCCTCCTCCTCCTCCTCCTCTCCTCCTCCTCCTCCTCCTCCTCCTCCTCCTCCTCCTCCTCCTCCTCCTCCTCCTCCTCCTCCTCCTCCTCCTCCTCCTCCTCCTCCTCCTCCTCCTCCTCCTCCTCCCCCCCCTCTTCCGCCCAATGCCGAGACGCCGAAGAAGCAAACGCTCCCCAGGCCTGCCGCAGAGCCCTCGAGGGGCAGCTCGCCGTGGGCCTCCGGGAGACCCGCGAGGAGCACCGGAGCGCCCACGGCGCCGCGCTGGCCGAGGCTGCGCGCCCCACGGCGACGGCGACGGACGACGGCGACGGCGACGACGACGGCGGCGGCGACGACGGCGACAACGACGATGACGACGACGGCGACGACGACCTCGGGCGTCTCGAAAGAGTCGAGGCGGAGGTTTTTCGTCGTGTTCGGGCCCTCTCTCGGGACCCTCGCCGGGCCTCGGGACCGTCAACAAGCTGCTCGTGGTGAAAAAACGGCCCCAGGGAAGCGGGCGGCCTGTTTATCGGAAAAAAACTATAGGGCTATTGAGCTATAGCGCTATAGAGCTATAGAGTTGTAGGGCTATTGGGCTATTGGGCTATTGGGCTATAGGGCTATAGGGCTATAGGCCCGGGCTTAGGGCTATAGGGCTATAGGGCACCCCTGGGCACCCCCAGGCACCCCCGGGCACGCTCGGGCACCCGGGCACCCGGGCACCCCCGAGCACCCAACTGGGCACCCGGGCCCCGGGCACCCCCGGGCACCCGGGCACCCGGGCGTGCAGCGAAAATCGACGACAAACCGAACCTAACCATATGAATCCGATAGGACCCCTACAGAGGCAAGCTCTGATTGGGGAGTAGTGTGGGGACTATTGTTTGATTATTTTTTGACCATTTGGGCATATTTGTCTTTGCATTTGTTGTCGAAAATCCCCCTGTAGGGGGACAGGCCCGACCTGACACTGGAACCCTCGAACAGATCGATCCGGCTCGAACAACGGCGTGGGAAGATCGGTGTGGGACTCCAGAGGTGACTTTTCGCGATGCCTCGACGTTTTCGCGCCGTCGGATCCCAGGGTCGAGGAGGAGGAGGAAGAGGAGGAGGAGGAGGAGGAGGAGGAGGAGGAGGCGGATGAGGAGGAGGAGGAGAAGGAGGAGGAGGAGGAGGAGGAGGAGCGCTTCCTCGGCGGCAGAAGCACAGGGACGGCTCCGCCGGCGGAGGCCTGCGGAAGCAGAAGAGGCGCCCCCACGAGGCGGCAACTATCTTATGTGGGCTCAGCGGGCTCCCAGCATTTTCCGATGCCGAGTCGTCCGCCTCGAGCGCTCCCGTGGGCTCCCACATCGATGTATGATTCGATGGCGCCGCGATGGCGGCACGCTCTCGGCTAATTAGCCATTTGCTGTGCCTCCAGAGCCTGACGCAGCAGGGCGCAGCGGGCCTCCACAAAAGAAGGGAACCCACGCAGGCGACGTCCTGATTTTTTCAATACGGGTCCCTGGAATTCCCGACCCTTTCCCCGGGACCGGTTTTTCATCCTGAGTCGTTTTTTGACGGTCCCGAGGCCCGGCGAGGGCCCCGCGAGGCCGAAAGCGGCCAAAAACCTCCCGTCCTGATCTTGTCTTGCGACGCGATCATGTCTGGGAAGCATGAGCCCCCAAGAGATGGCAGCAGTTTGGGGGCTCAGGGCTTTTGCAGAGCCCGCCAGGTGGCGGAGGTGGACCGCCGCGGCGCCGCGTGCGCGGCCGAGCTGCACCGCCTCCACGTCGCCGCGGAGAAGAGGCTGGAGGCGGGGGGAGCGGCAACTCTGCCTGGGTCACCGCGGGGGGTGGCCAAGGGGAAAAGGGTGGTCTTGAGTCGGGCATGTCCCTCCACAGGAGGAATATCAAAAAAGAGTACAAAATGGTCGGGGTACGATGGTTCGAATATGTTTGCCCATCTGTGAGTACGTATGTCGTTTTTCCTCCACAATCCGCCTGCAGAAGGACATGCCCGACCGAAGGGCGGTTCTGAGCGGGTCGTTCCAGAAAGTGCCTCGACTTCAAGGAGCGAAGGAGTTGGCGTCTCTGCATCGGCGGAGGGTCGGCGGAAGGCGGCAGAAGTAGAACGGGGGTGGTTCTGCTTGCGGAGGCTTGCGGAAGGCAGCGGGAAGTGAAAGATGCGTCCCCACGGGATGACAACATTTTAGGATTCAGGGCTTCCAGACCCGCCAAGCGGATGCGAAGGTGTGTTGTATCTGACCGAACCTAATAAAGAAGTGGGTCACATGTGCCCTACCCACCTACTATAGCCCACATCTGTACCCCCTCTTAGCCACGCCCAGATCTGTTCCCCCCCAAAGCCACTTAGGGCACTTGCAGCCCACTGGTTTATTTGGCTGTGGCAGATACAACTCACATTACCCAGGCATCCGCCTGCCCCAACTTTTTCGATGCGCGGTCCCTTGAGGTCTGGACCACTTCCCTAGGGCCGCTTTTTCGCCCCGAGTCGTTTTTTGACGCTCCCGAGGCCCGGCGAGGGCCCCAGGAGGCCGAAATTAGCCAACATCCAAGTCTTTTGGAGCGTCGGATCTCTGAGTACTTTCCACTTCGGGCTCCTCATCCCTTTAGCACCCCCTGCGGTGATCCACATACACCCTGCATCGGTCCTGGCCAAGCCCGTCCTGGCCCCAGGACCAGCGGGCACGCCCTCCTATGGGGGGATTGAGACGCTGCAGTCCAGTTGGAGTAAGTCCAGTCGGAGCCCTTCTCCTCCTCCTCCTCCTCCTCCTCCTCCTCCTCCTCCTCCTCCTCCTCCTCCTCCTCCTCCGCCTCCTCCTCCTCCTCGTCCTCCTCCTACTCCTCATTATCATCCTCCTCCTCCTCGTCCTCCTCCTCCTCCTCCTCCTGCTCCTCCTCCTCCTCCTCCTCCTCCTCCTCCTCCTGGTGGGCCTCCAACTGGACTTAACCTCCTCTTGGGCAACGCCAAGTCCAGCTGGTGCAAATCCAGTTGGAGCCTCGGCGTTCGATCCCTCTCGCGAGGGAGGGCGTGCACACCGACCGTGGGCCACAGGACGGGCCTGGCCAGGATTGGTGTGGCGCCCTCCTGAGGACCCAGAGATCCGACGCTCCAGAAAAATTGGAGCGGGCGGATCTTGGCTGATTTCGGCCTCCGGGGGCCCTCGCCGGGCCTCGGGAGCGTCAAAAAACGACTCGGGGCGAAAAAGCGGCCCTAGGGAAGTGGTCCAGACCTCCGGGGCCCGCGCATCGAAAAAGTTGGGGCAGGCGGATGCCTGGGTAATGTGAGTTGTATCTGCCACAGCCAAATAAACCAGTGGGCTGCACGCTCTTGGCCAGGCTCGGTCTGGCCCCAGGACTTGCATGCACGCCTTCCTGGCCAGCATGACGGAAACGGGTCCTGAGTCCTGAGGGAAACGGGGACTGGACCCCAGGGGCTTTTCTCCCCAAGACCAGCTCGCCGTCCCTAGTCGTGCTCTGACAGCTCCTGGGGCCTTTTGAGGGCCCCCAGGAGACCAAAAACGACGAAATAACCTAAGGACACGTTCTTCCTTCGCGACCCGTTTCTTTCATGCTACGGCGTGCGCTTTTTGTGGGCCCAAGATTAAGTCGAGCATGTCCCTCTGCAGGGGGAATATTCAAAAATGTTCCATCAATAGTACGAGGACGATCTTGTGATTATTGTTTTGGATGTTTTGGCATGTTTGGAGCATTTCCCAACCATCCTGTGGTGTTGGGTCCTCGTTTTGAAGAGACAGCGCCCCGCGTCACTCACTCACTCCTCCTCCCCCTCTTCCCTCCTCCCCCTCCTCCTCCCTCCTTTCGTTGCACCCACCCAGTACAGCGCTTCGTGGCCCCATAGGGAGCTCCACCGCGGCCCCAGTGCCACCTCCCGCATGCGTCACCCACACCCATGCCGGCACACCCCCTTACACGCTTCGTGGCCGCATAGGGAGCTCCACCGAAGGCCCCAGTGCCACCGCCCGCATGCGTCACCCACACCCATGCCGGCACACCCCCTTACACGCTTCGTGGCTCCATGGGGAGCTCCACCGAAGGCCCCAGTGCCACCACCCACACGCGTCACCCACATCCATGTCAGCACACCCCTCACACGTTTCGTGGCCTTCTAGGGAGCTCCACCGAAGGCCACAGTGCCACCGCCCGCATGCGCCACCCACACCCATTTCGGCACACCCCTCACACGTTTCGTCGCCTCGTGCCACCGCCCGCATGCGTCACCCACACATTTCGGCACACCCCCTCACACGCTTCGTGGCCCCATGGAGAGCTCCAACGAAGGCCCCTGTGCCACCTCCCGCATGCGTCACCCACACCCATTTCGGCACACACCCTCACACGCTTCGTGGCCCCATAGGGAGCTCCATCGAAGGCGCCAGTGCCACCGCCCACACGCGTCACCCACACCCATTTCGTCACACCCCTCACACGCTTCGTGGCCACATGTGGAGCTCCAACGAAAGCCCCGGTGCCACCGCCCGCATGCGTCACCCACGCCCACCCCTCACACGTTTCGTGGCCCCACAAGGAGCTCCACCGAAGGCGCCAGTGGTTGCGTTTGCATGCGCCCACCGCGCCCATTCGGGCACACCCCTCACACGCTTCGCGGCCCCATAGGGAGCTCCACCGAAGGCCCCTGGCTGCGTTCGCATGCGCCCATCGCACCTATTTCGGCACACCTCTCACGCGCTTCGTGGCCTCATAGGGAGCTCCACCGACCGCCCCAGTGGCTGCTTTCGAATGCGCCCACCGCACAAATTTCAACACACCCCTCACACGCTTCGTGGCCCTATAGGGAGCTCCTCCGAATGCGGTGCATACAGCTACGGTATTCAGCATATGGTTGGTGCTTCGCCTGGCTATTTTTGATTCTCTTGCACAGGGTTTCTAGAGCTCCGACCACTTTATTCCGCGTCGCCCCCCCCCCCTTTGCGTCCCCAGCGCCAGAGTGGGACCCCCGCGCCGTGGTTCTCTGCCCCGAGCCCCCCCGCGTCCCCAGCGCCCCAGCGGGAGCCCCGCCCACTGCCCCCTCCGCCACGAACGCTTTATTCCGCGTCGCCCCCCCCCCCCCCGCGTCCCCAGCGCCAGAGTGGGACCCCCGCGCCGTGGCTCTCTGCCCCGAGCCCCCCCGCGTCCCCAGCGCCCCAGCGGGAGCCCCGCCCACTGCCCCCTCCGCCACGAACGCTTTATTCCGCGTCGCACCCCCCCCCCCCCCGCGTCCCCAGCGCCAGAGTGGGACCCCCGCGCCGTGGCTCTCTGCCCCGAGCCCCCCCGCGTCCCCAGCGCCCCAGCGGGAGCCCCGCCCACTGCCCCCTCCGCCACGAACGCTTCATTCCGCGTCGCGACGCACACCACCTCCCCCACCTCCTCCCCCGCGTCCCCAGCGCCCCAGTGGGGGCTCCGCCCCGTGTCCCCTCCGCCCCGACAATCTTATTCCGCGTCGCGACGCACGTCACCTCCCCCCCCCCCCAGCGCCCCAGTTGGACCCCCGCCCCGTGGCCCTCTGCCCCAAGCCCCGCCCAGTGCCCCCTCCGCCCCGACCATTTTCTTTCACGTCGCGACGCACACCACCTCCCCCCCCTCCTCTCCGCGCCCCCAGCGCCCCAGTAGGATTTCCGCCCCGTGCCCATTCCGCTCCGAACAGTTTATTCCGCGTCGCGACGCACGCCACCTCCCCCCCTCCCCACCTGGGATTTGGGCCCCGTTGCTGGGCCCCGAGGGGCGATGTCTTGCCCCCCCTTCCCCCCTCCTCCTCCACCTCCTCCTCCTCCCCCTGCCCCTTTTCATTTTTGCACAAGAACCATGGCACACGTGCCATTCGTTTCTCGTCCAATACCCGCCTGTAGGAGGACATGCCCGACCTAAGCCCAGGACGGGTCTGGCCAGGATCGGCGTAGAATCCTCCCGGGAGGAGCGGCTGGGCGACCTCGACGAGCTGGCGAAGGCCACCGCCAGGCTCGACCGCGCCTTGCCGCTCGAGTTGGAGAAATCGGCGGGGGAGCTCCGCCGCTTACAGGCTCGCGGGCGGGAGACATCTCCTCGACGATCGACGTTCGGTCGGTGCGGTGAGGGCGTTCGTTCAGGAAGGGTTGGGCCGAGCGTTCGTTGCAGAGTGGCGTTGGGCCGTTCAACGTCGAAGAAGCCGCCAAAGGCCTCGACTCGCTGGCCTTGCGGGCGGCAGAGAACGATCGACGTTCGATCCGCTGGGCAGTGGGGTCCTGCGCTGCTTGAGGCCGGCGGCCAACTGGGGGTGGTGCCAGTAGCCATGGCTCGTGGTGGCATCCCGAAGCACCTCGCAACGGCGGCGCAGATGTGACGCCTGGGGCGCGTCCGTGCTGCCATTCATGCTGCGAGGTCCGACCGCATGCGAACTCACGCAGGCAACTTGGGACCCTCCTTTCGGCTTGTGTCGCCCCGGTGTTCTGCCCGGGCACCAAAAATATGCGATCCGTACGGTGAGAGCGTTCGTTGAGGAATGTGCCCAGGTGGCCTCAGACCCGCTCATCATCAATATGTGCGGAGCTCTGGGCCAATTCGGCCGTGAGCCTTTGCTTGCGTGACCTTGGCGCGGCTACGCTACGCCCTGCGCCGCTGCGAACTGGCGTGGGGGAGGCGTCATTTGCGATTGGCTTGCGCTGAGGTGCTGCGAAACATCTCCTCGACGATCGACACTGATCGACGGTCGATCCAGACGGTGGGGGCGTTCGTTACGAGATGTGCCCAGGTGGGCGACGGAAGTAAGCGGGGTCGTTTTCACCGACATTGGCGCGTAAGCTACCCGCGTAAGGTCGGGCGTAAGCGCCCTCGTTCCCAATGCGGGGTGCCACTCTGGCGGCCTGCGGAAGCCACCGCGGAAGGCCGTGATGTCATCTCGCGTAAAGCTTTTTGTTCGTCGCTCGGGTGGCTT